TCCAAATCTGCAGGTGACTTGCTCAAGCAAGAACGTCCTAGAAATGTCCATAACCTCCTCTCTTCCTACCTCAAAATGTTCAAGTAAGGAAGAGAAAACTTTCTATGTCCTGTAAGTACACACATATGTCAACAAACACATGTACATATGTGTACATTCACACCACACAAGCACATACAACCTGCCACATGCAAACATGTGTGCGCACACAGTGATGGCCAGGCAGGGGCTGACAAGGTAAGGTGCCAACTCTGAACTGAAGTCTGAATTTGCCAGCACTTTAGATCTTCCATCGTATCAGAGTAACCAGAGAAGAAACAGGACTGGCCTTAGCGTCATGGGACAGAGAAGTGTAGTGTAGAGCAAAAGGGGAGAGGTGAACAAAACCAAGTGGCTTTCTAATTACTCCCTACATTCTCCAGCTAGGCCTACAGGTGACAAGACAGTGCTCGGCCAATGTTGTTTGGGGGATTAACCAAAAACATCCAGGACTCAGAATGTGCTTTCAGTCTTTCACGGTCACCACCATCATTATCATCTGCAGCATCAGCATCACCATCATCGGAGTTTAGATGGCACCCCCTACAGGAATCCAGTCCTCTTAACTCACTCGGAAGGAACCTGAAGGCTCCAGCAAGTGTCCTGATAGCCAAGAGTGGGTTAGATGCAGATGATTCCCACTGGGTAGAGGGGAAAGGGACAGGGACGTCTTAGAAAAATAAAAAATAAAATCCCATCTTTGTCTTGTCTACTCCAGCATGGCAGCCACAGACACAGAGTCCTGCCAACATAGCACTTAGCAAACACTCAACTCCTGGCATTGACCCTCTCTGACTCTGAAGCATCAACCCTAGGTAGAAGGTCCTGTTATGGCACCTGATTTACAGACAAGGTCTCAAAGAGGCACAACGGCTTCCCCGAGGATCACAGCTTTACACACGAGCCAGCAGACTCTCTGACTCTAGACTCCACACCACTGACTCTGCAGCACACAGTGGTCTGTTGCCCCGTCCTCAAGTTTTCTGTCCTCCACACATGCACAGTATCCCTGCCCTCTTTGAAGCTAGACATAGACCTTGGTTTGTCTTAACCAATGAGATGTGAGCAGAAAGATCATGTCAGTTCCTGGCAGCAGCCTAGTGAACATCCAAGCCTTCCTCCTGTGGAGGCATCAATGTGAGAGATACTTCTAGATGAAGCCACCCTCACTAGGGAAACTAGGATCAACAGAGGCCTAGTCCCATCCTCAATGGACAGATACCTTGAGCAGGGAGTATACTTGGCTGGAGGAAGCCATGTGAATGGGGCTGTTTGTTACTGCAGCATCTGCTGGCGTTATGCTGACTGATGCAACTACCCTGTCATTTCTCAAGAGTTGAGAAAGGTAAATGAGTCGGAACCATCTCAGCTTCTCATAAGTCACCAAAGGAAACACTGGCTGAACTCAAAATGTGAAGAAATGATGTCTACTCCTACATTCTATTTCTTTCTCTTTTTTTAAATTTCCTGTGAATAGGTGTTTTTGCCTGCATGTGTGCACAGGCACCACCTGTGTGCCTGGTGCCTTCAGAAACCAAAAGAGGGCATCAGAGACCCTGCAACTGGAGTCACAGATGCTATATGAGCCACCATGTGGGTGCTGAGAATTGAACTCACATTCTCTGCCTGAAAGAGCAGCCAGTGTGCTCAACTACTGAGTCAACTCTTACAGCCCCCCTGCATCCTATTTCTATACGGACTGAAAATGAAGACCCACGGGAAGTGGTCACCAGGGATGCCCAGGACCCTTGGCCCAGATCTTCCCCTCCATCTCTCTGTGACATTCCTCTGTGTCTCTCTCCTCATTTGCTGCACCTTTCTCTCCCCTATTTCTCCCCATTTCTCTCAAAAAATAAAATAAAAAATAGTCCTTGGACAAGCTCACCACCATAGTCACCCAAACCAGGGACTCCTAACTGTAGACAAGGGAACTCCTGTCACCTGAGACAGAAGAACTGAAGAGGGATTGCAACTCTGTCCTAAAAAAATGCATGGTTCTCCTCAGAGCCTGAGGAGCTAGAAGCTTGTACATCAAAGCAACCCCTCACCACCTGTCCCGGCTCAGCTGGGTACCTCACACAAGCAAAACCCAGAAGGGACAGATAATAGCATCCTTGCCACTCCCACTAGGCATGGGATGAATTTTCTTCTCCCTTCACCCTGGCTTTCAGTCTGAGAATCTGTTTCCTCGCTCCCATTTACCAAGCACCAGCCCTGGTCTCCCAACCTGACTCCCATTAGCTTGATGGCCAAGGAGTCAGAAGACAGCAAGTGAAGGGCACTGGGGCAGCTCGGCTTCCTGACTCCTCAGCTCCTCAGAAGCAAAGGCCACCACACCCTGCTACTGGAACTTGTTTCACAGAGTGGTGTCTTGGAACCCTCTGGAAGAATTTGGAGACTGCTCTGTGCAGAGTAGGCAAAAACAAAGTCCTGCTCCCACCCAAGGGGTGCTGGGACCTGGGCATGGGGCTCAGAACTCGGGCCAAGGAGCTAATGGGATTCCTGGAGGCTCAAACTGTGGTGTCAGCCGGGGCCAAGCTGGCTGGCTCCACACCAACCCAGAGGGAGGTGGAGGCCACTTTGAGGAGGAGGGGAGCAGGGGCCAGACAATTCTCCACCACAACCCAGGATTCTCACTTCTCCATAGTCAGAAACCTGGACCTGGATGTTCAGCTGTATGGGACACAAAAAGTTCCATCCTACACACGATGGGTTGAGCCATCCCCTCTGGGCCACAGGCTGGAGAGTACAGTGGCTATGGCAAAAGAAAGCCACTAAGGCGGGTCCCACTGCAGTATAGCTCCGGTCCCTACATAAAGAGAAGATCAGACACACAGAAGAAGACACATGTGGACACACAGCAACGGCAGTCTACATGCTGAGAGGACACCCTTCAGGGACACCAACCCTGGTATCAGAATCCAATCCCAGAACCATGAGAGCAAATATCTGTCACTTAAGGTCCACCTGTGGTTACCCAAGACATTGAAGACAACAGAAGTCCCTGAGATGGCAGGATTTCTCTCCCCGGCCATTGCCCCTCAACAGAACCTATTTCCAACATGGGCTTCCATCTTTTCCGCTCACCCCTCACTGTCTCCTCCTCCCAGCCTAAGCACAGATGAACCACACTGTTCCCCACATTAAGGTGACAAGCAGTCCCTTGCTCCCTCCTCTTGACCATTAGCCATACACACACAAGCCCTTTCCCCTCTGGGCCCCAGGATAGAGAACCTTCCATGGAAAGGCCCCCCCCACAGGGACAGGACTGGGACAAAGGTCATGCTTAAGCTTTGGGAGTCTCCAGGCCCACTGGGGATGCAACTGAGGGGCAGGCAGCAAGACCCACATAGTCAGAACCCAGGGCATCTGTTTCCTGGCAACTGTCCCAGCCTAGGCTGTCAGGCCAAGCAAGGAAGGGGACAGCAGAGACCTGACCGCCCCGCTGCGGGCAAAGGGCCAGCTTCTGTGTCTGAGTATAGAAGCCCCTCTGTCCTGATAGGACCAGCTGACCTTGTAGCTGGCCTGAGGTCCTGCCAGCTCCATTCCCTGCTAGGGAAGTAGATCATGGGGTGAGGGCTGCAGAGCCAGCCAGGGCCTTCCCTTGTCTGTCCTGCCTGTCCTCTGAATGCTCCTACTACCCCAGGTTTCCCTGTTCAGACCCTACCCTCTGTTCTCCTTCCTTCCCTCCAGCTGGTCCCATCCATTCCTCCCAGCCCTTAATGATTCTACCTTTGATTCTCTCGGCACTTCCGAGCTCATCAATGTTTTACATCTATCACTGCATTGAATCTGCACCAGGGAGAGACGGCAAGGCATTAAAAATTCCTTCAAATTGCCAAGTGTTCTTGTTAAAAATGCAAACTTCCCCAACATGAGAAACGATGAGGCTGACAGCGGCAGCCTCGGAGACGATTCATTCCACCGTTAGTTCCACCCCATGCCCAGGCCACTCAGCCACTCAGAAAACGGGAACCGGGTGTGGAGCACAAGGATCTCAGTGGCAGAAGAAGGCCCCCTGAAAGGGTACAAGGGAAAGCCACCAACCTTGGGGTGCTGCACATAAATGCACCCTCGTGGAACCCCTGAGTTCTAACCTAGCCTCCCTCCTCCAGCCTGTCTGATATCTGCTGATGGCTGTAGCATGGCTTCTAGAGCAGAGCCACACAGGATGCCGAGGCGAGGGTGACAGAAGTGAGCAGTGCCGAGTTTAACAGGTGAGAGCACGCGCTCATGTTCTCCCTCCCCACCCCATCACTGGAGCAAGCCCCAGCTGGCTTTGGTGCGGAGAGAGGTTCCACTGGTGTCCTTGAGAGGGCACAGCCTGGGTCTGGGGGCAAGTCATGTTCCTGCCTTCCAGAAGATCTGTTACCTCAATTCTGAAGACAGATGCGGGGGACCCGCCAACCTGTTCTAACATTCTGCCAATCTGTGGCTGAATCAGAAAACAGGCCGAGGGCCAAACCCAAGAGGGCATCGAAAGGCTTTGTACTCTACCTAGCAACCTCATTTCCAGAGGCTCTACCCCTCATCCCTCCTACATATTCCAAGAGCCAAATAAATCAACGGACTGGCCACAGAACACGCAGAGCACACCTGACTGCAGCTGGGTAATGGGTTTTCAGTCACGTTAAATAGGCAATGGCACTGTACCTACTCTGCAGTTTTGTTTTTTGTTTTTTCTCTTGTATCTTGGAACCCCACACTGAGTTCTCAGACAATTTTGGTAGATTCTCATGTAAGCTGTTAGAGCCCCAACACTTCGCCTATATATTCATGCCCTGGCCTCTAAGAATGCAAACAGCAGCCTAGAGACACCTGAGGGCAGGTTCCAAAGAGACGGAGCAGGGACTGCCAGCTGCACTTAAAGCCACCTCCTCTACAGAGGCTCCAGAGAACCAAGGTCACACAGGCCATGGCTGCCCAGTTCAGCAAGTGTCTGGCAGTCACAGGTCACCTACCCTCCATGCCATCCTCATGATGTCCGTTGAAGTTGTCGTAGGAATCCCAGCGGATGAGGGGGTCAGAGGTGTTATAATCTACAGATACACTGGGCCCATTCTCCAGGTGTTCCATGCCTGTGGGGAGTCAGTGGGGGACAGAGGGGACACAGGGAAAGAGATGAGCATCTGGTAAAGCAGAAGGCCTGTGAGCTCCCCCATGGACCATCCCTGAAGAACTTGCTTGCTGTCTTGAGTGTCTAGGGTAGGACAATGACTTGGGTTGCCTGAATAACCCAGGAGCCTTGGACCAGGTCATAGGGGCAAATCAGGACAGAGCCCTTAAAGACAGAACCCGTGGGAGAGGGAGAAGGGATTGGCATGTGAAATTATAATTTTGTAAAAATTAAATAATAAAAAAGCTAAAAAAAAAAAAAGAACCCACATACACACACCCTAGAGAAAACATGTCCCCACCCTCTGGTGGCTGCTTCTCTATCATCCATGGCCCTGGGGCAAGAACAAGGGTCAGCTCTGGAGACTGGAGAAGGGATAGGTGATAGGCTTGTCCTGGACCACCTGTAGGTGGGGACAGCATGGAAATCACAGCCAGGACATTGAGAGGACACAGCATAGAAAGGTCATCCCAGGCCTGGACCTGCCCCCACCTAAGATGCTCCCTACTCTAGACAGACATCCACAAGGACAGGCCAGTCTCTTTTGCAACCTCAGAGTCAATACAGCACCTAGTCAGGCCATCCAGGGTAGCCTATTTTCCTAGCTTGGCAGTCCTTTCTTTAATCTACCCAGAGTCCCTCTGCTTGTAAACTAACTTCATCTCCTCCAATTCTGTTCTCAAATAAGATGAAGAGCAACTGGTCTCCATATTTAGAGTCTAGAAGAAGAAAGGTTATTATTAAACTGGCCTTCAGTTTGAGCCACTTCGGTTCATAAATACCCACAATCCACCCAGCACCTTGGAATGTTCTCTGGCTGTCCCTTCCATCTGCCAAGGCCCTCAGTCTCTGAATATAACAAGATGGTGACCTAAAGGGACCAGAACAGTTTTGTCAACTCAGCGCCTCACTGTCTGCATTTATTCTTGTTGTACAGAAACCAAGGTGCTGGATCAGGTTTAGCTAGTCCACTCTAACACCCTGGTCCTTTACTGTGACCCACCTCTAAAGTAACACCATGTTTGTAGAGTTGACCAGGGGGAGGACCCTGAGGGTGAGATGGGGACAGGTGAGGAAGCAGGGAAAGGGCTGGAACGTGCTCTGTACCTTGAATTTTCTCTGGCCCATAGGAAAAGACAAACTCCACTTTGCCATAATCAGGAAATCGATCATCTGAAAGAGACGAAAAGGAGAAAATGGGTCCCAGACTCCCAAAGAGAAAGGTGTCTTCTAGAAAAGAATTCTGTCATATATGCACATGTGGTTGAGAATACAATACCGTGTCTACATTTACCTTTTACACAGAGGAAATTGCATGTGCACAGTGGAAAAAATATTTTGAGACAGGCTCTCAGGTAGCCCAGGATGGCCCCAAACTCAATATGTGGCTAAGAATGAACTTCAACCTCTTGCCCTCCACCTCTTGAGTACTGAAATTATACATGGTGGGCATCAAGCCCAGGGATTCACGACCACACTAGGCAAGCATATTACCAACTGAGGTACATACCCACCCCAATCACACATTTGGAACTGCAAGGTGAAGCCTTGCCAGAGTTCTACTTCCTGAGGCAAACACAACCTTTTCAGTTTCTAGGTCAGGCTGGGTTTGAATTCAAAAACCCTCCTGCCTCAGCCTCCTGAGTTACAGATATACTGTACCACACCCAGGCTCCTTTCTTCTTAAATCTGGGTAAGTTTTTATTTATTCCATTGATTCCCTCAGACACTCTGCTGACTAGTTTTATGTCAACTTGACGCAAGCTAGAGTCACTGGAGAAGAGGGAGCCTCAATTGAGAAAATGCCTCCATAAATCGGGCTATAGGCAAGCCTGTAGGAAATTTTCTTAATTAGTGATAGATTAGTAAGATCCACCCCATTGTGGGTGATACCACCCCTCCACAGGTAGTCCTGGGCCCTATAAGAAAGCAGGCTGAGTAAGTCCTAGGGAGCAAGCCAGTAAGCAGCACTCCTCCGTGGCCTGTGCCTCAGCTCCTGCCTCCAAGTTCCTGGCCTGTTTGAGTTACGGTCCTGACTTCCTTCCATGATGAACAACAATACTAAAGTGTAAGCCAAATAAAGCCTTTCTTTCCTCCCAACTTGCTTTGGTTATGGTTTTTGACAACAGCAATAGTAACCCTAAATAGGACAGATACTGTGGATAAGCATCTGTTTGTGGGTCTGTCAATTCTCAATGGTTCTCCATGCTTGCTTTTTATATCACTTGGCAACAAGTTCTTTGTATAACCAGACTCCTCTACCTGCAAGAAGTACCCCAAAGGGTACTCAAAGAAATGAAATTTGGTAAATGAATGTGTTTCATTTTGCAGTTTGGAAAATTAAAAAATGCACACCATACCGTAAATACATATTCAGGATTTCAATAGGCAATTTCTCTCAGTTCTGAAAAGATTGATTCTGTAATTACACATTTATTATAAGTTATGGCCATCATGGTGATACCTGTACAAATTAAGACTGACAATGCTCCAACATATGTCTCTAATAAAATGAAACAAATTTTTTCATATTACAACATAAAGCATTACAACATAAAGATATAACCACACTCTAAAAGATGTGCTTAATAAACAGAAATAGATTACACAATGCTTTATTAACTTTAAAATTTTTAAATGCTAGTGAGAAAGGAATGACAGCTGCAGAGAGACATTGGATAATAGAAGAAAAAAACGTGATGAATTAAATCAGCCTGTATGCTTTAAAGATGTGTTACCTCAGAAATGGAAACCGGGATATGCGTTACATTGGGAAAGAGGTTTTGCTTTTATTTCCGCAGGAGAAGAAAAACTATGAATACCATCAAAACTGATAGCAATTAGATTCAAACAGGAGAGACCTCTTGATTAAAAGAGGCAATAGTTCTTCATTGTGGCCATTCAATCTAAACTAACTTTTCATTTGACCAGATATAGGGTTGGAGCAGGGTTTTTGTTTGTTTTGTTTTGTTTTGTTTTGTTTTTTTACTTTTCAGGAGAATAAAGGCATCCAACTTAGTAATCTGAAGAACACTGGACAAATGAGACATCTGAAGAAAAAGTATGAATCATCCAGAGAAAATGTCCCAAGAAAAAGAGTAAATTGGCCTAATGGTATATTACATTTCCAATAGGATAAAATTTCATAAATTTTCTCAACTGTTTGCTTCTGCTGTTCTCTACAGACATATAAGACGAAGGATCTTTTTGTGGTCCCAGTTCAATTAAAAATTAAAGCTGGCTTTGGAGTTGGAGCATGACTCTCTCCTTCTCTAAACACAAGCATGCTTGTTAAAAGAAAATCAAAAATTTCTGTCGCATGTCAGGAGATCCTGCTGGTGTGGGACATAAAAAAGAAATCTAAGGGACTATTCTATTACCACTAATCTCATAAACTTTTGGTTTTATTTTGACTCTGTAAAATGTTTTTAAGGTATAAATACTATCTTAAAATGTTTTAGGGTTAATACATATTTTTTAAACTTTCTGTCATGATATTAATGGTCACATAGAGTACTAACTAATTCTAGAAATAGGCTTCATCTATATTAGTGTGCATGATTTCAGATTTGAGTCCTTATCAGGTAACTAGGAATTAAGTTTGTGTTCTCTGGATGTACTTAACAAATTGTGGTCCTGTAACCGCTCCAAGATGTGCTGTGTATGACACTTAAAACACTTAAGTTTTCTGCAATGAACTGTGACTTTTCCTAATGGTGACTTTTGAAGTCTCCAAAAGGATGATGGGAGCCCACAGCAATGATTCTACCTGGATTGTAGGAATGCTGCTAAGCTGCAAAACACCACCCAAAGATCAACTTTGGACTACAAACTGCTCAGGACAATTTCAAGGTGGCTAACTGAGCCGGTCCAGCCTCATCCACTACTCCAGCCGGGATTTCGGATAAGCCCCACGCTTTCCCATTACACAGAGACTGGCAACAAATGATATACAGCCAGCTCTCCCAGGAACTGACCATGATCTCAATTTTCCCAGCGTTCCCTAGAAATGCCATCCCCCCACCCCAGAAATCTAGAGTACACCAAGAGGTGGGGTGGATGGTTTTTGGTCAATTCAGTGGGTTATGAATATTTGTCATTGGTTAGAGTTTGGTTACAAGTTGTTAATAGTAATGGTCAAGAAAAAAAAAGCTTAACAAAGGAGATTAGATTCAGGGGTCTCATTCTGAAAAGAAAAAGCGGGGATATAGAAATAACAGGACACAAGGTAGATTGTTGAATCTACTTTTAAACTGAAAAGGCAACTACTAGTCTTAAATATTTTACATCGGTATGGATTTTTCTTATATTGCGTATATGTTCCTATTCTTGTTTAAGATATTTTTGTATACTGATACAAATTTAAGGTTATTTTTGCTAGAACACACTGTACATGCATCTCTACTATTGTTTAAGTTATTGTACCTATGCCTCTAATTTAACAATAGAATGTGAATTTCTAGTCCTCGAAATTTATTATTATAAACTATTTAGGATAACAAAGAAATGCAGGTTAGCAGTTAGTCACCTATTACAATCAAACTTGTACTCATGTTAGGTTTAACTTCAAGGTCAAACATGTATTTTAGACCTGTAGTCTTCAAACATTTCAGAGATCTACAGAATATGGCATTTAAGATGTTTTAATAATATAAGGCTTTTTATGACAATGAGACACATCTGCTCCTGGCAGCACCAATCTACTTCAGAGAAGATGATGGGCATCAAAGAAACTCCATATGGAGTTTGCTTTCTTTGTGGCAAAAGTTAGCCACTGGGCAAGAAACTACCCTTGCCTTAACTGCTAAGAGTGTACTGCCCAAATTGGGCATGGTGGACACAATAAGAAAGTGACTGCCAAACTTTGGCAAGAGAAAACGTAACAGTTCTTCAAAATTCCTGTTTCACATAAAAGTCTGTCAGATATTCTAGGCCTGTAGGCCAAAGATGGATGCTCCAATTTTACACAGGGACCAGATGTTTCTATTGTTTCTATAGTTTTGGAAGTTGCTTGCTCTGCACTTCCTGTTTACACAGGTAATACTATATCCTTCTCAGGTCTCTGGTGGAATTGAAGACTAGATAGTTATAGTTTTCTTTGTTACCAAATTCAGAAAAGAAACTGATAAAAATGTGTAAAATATATAAGGTTGAAAGACATAAAAGGATAGTTTGGGGTTGGTAATACAAGTTAGGATAGAAAGTGAATTAGGTACAAAACTTTGAACTCACAAAGATAGGATAGGCAATAGAGTATTTTCTATGAATTTGCCAAATGTAAATAGACTGGGCATTGTGAATATAATTCTTACCTGACAATTGTTCTTATCATATATAGTTTTACCATGTTAGAGTTATAACCTTCCATTTTAATTTAGACAAAGGTGAAATGTTGTGTGATTATTTTTATCACATTCTGACAATAAAGTTTGCTTTGAATCAGAGGGCAAAGTTAGATACTAGCTGACCAAAATTAATCATAGAGGTTTTGGAAGACTGAGGACAGACAGTAAGTAATAAGACATGGCTTAGAGAGGATCTCAGTCCTTTTGGATGGAGAAATGAAAGAGATAAGGAAGTTGTTTCTCTGCCACTTCTGTGATTATTCAGGTTCTTGCCCTAATATCTGACTCCCAATTTTTTAATTGATAAAGAATAATTAGATAGTGCTGGAGATATGGCTCAACGGTTAAGAACACTGAATGTTCTTCCAGAGGACCCGAGTTCAATTCCCAGCACCCACATGGCATCTTATAACTGTCTGTAACTCTAGTTCCAGGAAATCTGATACCTTCACCCCAATGCACATAAAATAAAGGTTAAATAAATTATAAAAAGAATAATTATATAAATACAATTCTTGCACCATGCAAGAAGGAACTGGGACCCCTTTCCCTCTGTGTCTCCTTAACCTCTTCTTGACTTTGTCAGCTCCACCTTCATCTCCCCTCAAGACTGATTATAATCTGTCCTGAAACTCAAAGCATCTCCCGTGTTGCTCCTTCCTGAACTCCTAGACCACCCAACCTCAGGCCTGTCACAATTCTCCTTCAATTTCCTCACACCGTCAAGAGCCCCCTGGGACTTGACAAACCATGTGACTCAGAAAAGGTGGCCCCCGAATCCACCACTTCATCCCAAGCTGGGCTCCTCTCCTGATATAAGAGTCCCATCCTGCCCCACCAGAGAACCCACCTTTGAAGGCCTCATCCAGGTCTTCCTTCCCAAAAACAACCCCCAAGTCATGGATGGCACAGGTGTGGAACTGCACTCGGAAGATGACATCTCGAGCTGGGCTTCGGAACTTCTTGTGGTAACACTTGAGCTGTGTGGGAAGAGGCAAAGGATGAAAGTTTAGGTTACAGGAACCCTCCTAACTCGCTCCATTAGCTGAGCTCCAAGGCTCGCCCCAAACTCAGGAGAGAGAAGTCACCAATACCAAACAAGACCGCAAAGCTCTTTGGGAAACTTTTAGAACAGATGAGGAGGGGAACAGTCTGGAGTTGTGGGGAACGTTCTCCCAGATGTTCCCGCATACAGGGGGGTGTGAAAAGGGAAACATGGCCTTAAACTACAGCAAGCCCGACTGAGTTTAGAATTGGGAGTGTCTTGCCACCAGTCTAGAGCTAGAAGGTCACAGTTCACACTGAGTGGCAGTTCCCTGGAGCTGGCCCAAAGCAAAAGATGAAGGTAGGAGAAGAATGCCCACTCCAGGGGAAGAAGGAAGACCAAGACAGTGTGAGTCTGGGAGGACTTATGGAAACCCACAGTTCCAAACTCAATAGCTCCCTGGGGGCAGGACAAGAGAAGGGACACTTAAGGAGGAGAATAGAGCTCACCAAGATGTCTCCCTTCAGGAGCAGCCCTGGTTCAATGGTGATACAGATGCTGGCCTGGCTGTCTCCGGGGATGTTGCTGAGAGAGAGAGAGGTGATGAAGGAGAGTGCTGCTGCTGAGGAGGCAGGCTCCCTTCTCCCTTCCTCCCCTCCACCCCCATCCTCACGCACACAGACTACTTACTAAATGCCAGATGTATACACGGGTTGCATAGCTTGGTAGATTCGGAGAAACGGTCGGCATCCTGTCAGAGAGGGGAAGGTGTGAGCTAAGAAGCAGAAATGGTTGGGGACATGAGGGACATAGGGAGGGGAAAGGAGGAAAAGAGGAAGAGAAAAAGGAGGAAGGGAGAATGGGAAGAAAGACTAACTTCATTTCTAAGGCGTTTTAAGTAGACAAAAATGCCTCCCCCAGTGTCTTCTGCCACTAGGCACGGCCAGGTGTCGACACCATGTTGCAGAGGAACAGGGTGAAGCTCTGCTGAGAGCCCGACATGAGACTAGATGACACTACAGCATAGCGTATGGCTCACCACCCCAGACCACCGAGAAGGAGACAGAGGCCGGAGGGAGGGGATGGGCAGGTACCTCCTTTAGACTCAAAGTTGGGGATGCCATGCATGATCACATGGTGCAGAAACAGGGGCTTGTTGTTCATTTTGATGGAGCCAGAGAGCAGGCCGCTGAAGTAGTGCACATACCTGCACAGGGACAGGGGAGCATCAGGGAAGGGCCTCTGTCCACCCAGCCATCTACACATCCCTTCACCTGTCCATCCAAACTACTCATCCAGCAACCCACATTATCTATCTATCCTATCCATTCACTCTTACTTCGAGAACACCACCCTAGGCTTCCATCTACCCTCACCCCCCTGGAGCATGCACCCACCCAGGCCACAGCAGCTGAGTTTTCCCAGCCAGTGCAGGCCTCCAGACTCGCTGAGCCCCAGGAAGCAAAGAAAGTAAAAAATTGCAGAGCCTAGAGCCCACTTGGCATTCTCTGGCACCCCCTGCTGGTGAACATGAGCATATCTTTCCTTCCTCGCTCCCAAGCCAGGCATCACACCACATCATCCTTGGCAGGGACAATTTAGCAGCTTACAACTGCACAAAGCATGCTGCCCAACCAAACACCCCTAACTGGGCCCAACCCAGCTGACGACTATTCTCACTGTAAACTTACACTAGGCCCTGATTCTGACACACACACCCAGCCACACAGCAAACAGTAAATGCTTAATAATATTTATTTCCCACTGAATGCATGGAGTTTCCTATATTAACTTCTTTACTCAGGATCTGAGATAATTAACTTCCAATAAGCATCCCGTCTCTAGATTGGTTTGTAGTTGGGTTTTTAGTTTGTTTCTTTGGGGATTTTGTTTGCTTGCGGAGTGTGTGTGCGTGCGTGCGTGCGTGCGTGCGTGCGTGTGTGTGTGTGTGTCTCCTGCATGCTAAGTCCTCAACACAGGAAGCTACATCACCAGCTCCAGCAATTTCCAGTTCTTTAAATAAAGATCTCGCTGGTAGAATGGAAGGACCATGCCATCTCCTTTCTTTCTGAACAGAGAGGGAAAATCAGGTCCAGAAAAGGTTGTGACACAGCAAGATTACACAAAGCAGGGGATGGGAGAGAGACAGAGAGAAGCCTAGACCCCAAAGCATCTCCTGAACCACAAATCAGTCCTCTGCTACTGACTGATTGTCATTCCCTCCTTTCTGATTCTCTAGAGAAGCAGGTTGAATGAGACAAACCAATCAGATGCAGTCTGGTGCTCTACAAGAGCCAATAGTTCCTCAGGAGGGTCAGACTCCAATTATGACACCAGGACAAACCCCCCCCCCATCTCTTGGTCCCTTGGCCCTCCTCCAGGTCCAGTCCCTGAGCCTGGGTGGGGCCTTTTCAGCCTCCCCTAGCAAGATAATCTGATGGGCATTGCCAGCTCCTATTCAGGGCCCTGCCCAGCCCCCCTGGCCCGTTAACTCAAACCGGAAACCTGGAATGGCAGGTTCCCATCAGATCTCCTGACCAGGCCAACAGGATGTGTCTGTGTTCTGGGGACAATGAGTCTGAGGGCGGTGACAGTGAATGGGTAAGCTACAGGCAAAGCCTCTCCCTCTCATTCCTTGCTCTTCCCTCTCCAACTGCCAGGCTCGCTGTAAGCAACACTGACAAGAAAGCAGAGGGAAAGTGGCAAGGAACGTTCCGGAAACCAACAGCCGCACTTTCTCATGTGTGTGGAGAGCCTGGCCTGCCGCCACCCAACAAATACAGTGGCCCAAGGGAGCTGTGGGCAGACACTGATAAGGCAAGCAGACAAATTCACATGACAACTGCATGGTATGTGGGCATGTGAGGAATCCCTTGGACTTCTCTTTCTGACTAGGTGAGCCCAGGTCTCTGCTGCTCAGCATTACATAAACCATTCATCCCACCTTCTCCAAGCGACAGTGGGACACAGTAATGGCCCACATTCCTATTAGTAAGTAGACTGTTACCTTCAGGGTCAAAGGTGACTGAGACCGTGTTGTCACGTGTGTGTGTGTGTGTGTGTGTGTGTGTGTGTGTGTGTGTGTGTGTGTGACACAACCCCAGGAGCCGGTGCATGGCTTGCAGTGCTTCAGCCTGTGGAAGAGCCTCAGACCAGTGCTGGTGGCTTCTAGGAGGCAGGCAGGCAGTGAGGGCACACTGCCGCACAGGGCTGGGCTCCTGGGTGCCTGGTGAGTACTCAGGCGCTTTTATCTGGGCTTCCAACTACAAAGGCAGTAACGGTCCCCAGCAGTGACTGCAGATCCCATCCAGATAAGCAAGGTGGGGATGTGGAGATACGGTGGGGATCCTCAATGTGAAGAGGCAGGAAAGGCCCTTGGAATCTACAGCTAAGTTCCTAGGAGCTACAGAAGCCAAGAAGGCCTTTAGCCTCCAGCTTTCCTGCCTGCTATGTGCAGAACTCTATCCTTGGCTTGGCCCCCTCCTTCACCCTTCTCACTCAGAAGACCTCCCCCCCCCGTCATGTGTCACTTTGAACCAGCCCCATGCCCGGCCATCACTCTTAGCAGTGACGGTTTGAACTTTCTTCAAAAAACACCTGTTAGCAACTGCAACAATCTTCTGTTTGCAAGCATGCAATTGCTCATAAGAAGCTTGTCCGCACACGCCCTTGTGTGACAGATTTAATGCCCTGTCCTTGCTGTGAGAATGGGACTAAACCAGCACAGATGGGTAGCAGGCCCACAACTCATAGCCACACCAGGATTCCTGCTCTCTAGGTCTCCAGCCGAGGTTAGGGCTTTCCATGGCTATAGCCTCCCCATGACCAGCTGACCTTGGCACTGCCCTTGACCTTCCTCCCCTCTGTGGATCAGATATCATTGAATCAGGTGCCATTCATGGGCAGACCCCTGCAAGGCAGCAGGCAGCACTTCCAGACACCCCCTGGCCCCAGGTTCCCAGCCCTGGACCTATATCCCAGCTCAGCCACCACTCACTGTGGCCCCAGCCCTGTCCCCACCCTGACCTCAGGCTTCTCATCTGTAAAAGGAGGGTGCCCTGGTCATCACCACTGTTCCAGTTAGGGCTTCAAAATCACCTTCTCCCAGAGACTCCAGGTTGTCTCCATGAAAAAATCCAGTTCCCTACATCACTGAATGTTAAAGCAAACCCTTAACTTGGGTCTTCTCTCTTTTGTCTCTCTCCTCTCTCTTCTTTTTCTTTTTCCCCTCCACTATTCCCTCTCTTCTGTGCCTTCTCACTCTTCCCTCTCTCTACTCTATCCCCTCTCTCTGTCCTGTTTCTGTCTCTCTGTATCCCGTTCTCTGGCTCTGGCTCTCTCTCTCCCCTCTTCATGCTTCCTATCTGGCATTGTCTCTTCTGGATGGTCACTTGTTTGATGCCTATCGCTCTCAACAAACCCACAACTCCCACGGGCTTCGGGAGGGGGGTGGAACTCTGCTCTGTTAGCCTGGATGTCCCAGTGCCCACAGCTACAGCAGAGTTCCTCAACTTTGGTGATGAATGACTCCATCCATCCTGCTTCCTCTCTAGGCTATTAATATACACTCCAGCTGAGACCCTTAGCAAAATACTATAAATTCTCCCAAGGGAAGGTACCCCTTATAATGCTATATATGACCTCCAAGGACAGGCATTAGGGATATCAGTGTCATGTGTGTTCATCCACACACTGAAGTTACCCTGCCTCCAAGACCAAGAACAGCATGTGTCTTCTTACAAAGGCATCTGCTTCTCCAGAGTCACATCACAACAGACTGTCTTCTGCTAAAGGCCTCAGAAGCCAACTGACACCCCAACCTGTGGGCACCGCCATGCCCATGCCACTACAGTCTTAATACCTATGCTTGGTATACCCTCACTTAAGCAGATGTTCATCCCCTGTGAGTGCACAAGGCCAGTGTCCACCAAAGGGAATGCACACACTGGGTCTGGAGACCAGACACTCACCTCCTCTGGGATGGCTGGCCAATGGGCACAATCTTATCTTCATAGAATCTCTTCATTGCAAACCGGTCCAGAGCCTGGTCAGCACTGTGGGGAGACACAGATAATCAAAGAAACCCACTCCCACACCTGAGGGCCCTTTGTCCCCTCACTCAGGTTCCCCTAGACTTGCACAACCCCCCAGACAACCCTCGTTGCCCTGGAAGGACAAATCCCTCCTCCGACCATGCTGCACTGAGAAGCCTTCAGGAAGAACATGCTCAATGTGGTAGTTTGAATGTAACTGGCCCCCATAAGCTCATAGGGAATGGCACTACTAGGAGGTGTGGCCTTGTTGAAGTGGGTGTGGCTTTGTTGGAGGAAGTGTGCCACTGTGAGGACAGGCCTTGAGGTCTCCTATGCTCAAGCTACTCTCAGTGTCTCAGTTCACTTCCTGTTGCCTGTAGATCAAAGATACAGAACTCTCAGCTCCTGCTCCAGCACCATGTCTGCCTGCACAGCGCCATGTCTCACCATGATGATAACCTCTGAACTGTAAGCCATCCAATTAAATGTTTTCCTTTATAAGAGTTGGATGGTCATGGTGTCTTTTTTATAGTAACAGAAATCCTAACTAAGACCCTCAAGCATGCCCTATCCATATGGTGCAGCACTCAGCCAGGGGCTCTACAGCAAAGCCGCTTGGGCACCCATCTCTAACTACTACTAATTGCTCCTGAGACATAATCCTTTCCATAAAACCTCATTCCCCTCATCAAATGAGGCTTAAAGGAGATTAGATGATGTGACACCCATTAAGAGCTTGGCAGCCATGGTGCCCACTCAGCAGATACAAGGCTGAGCTGGTTTCTGATACCCTCCACACAACACACCACCTGTCCTCTGAGCACAGAAAGATCACCCTGGTGCTCCAGTAACTTCCCATCATTCTTACAGTAAATTCAAAGTCCCAGCAAGGCCATTGTTCTCTATTACCCTGACTGCCCTGAGCCTTTTCTGACTCTATACTCTCCAGGTCCTTTGTTCATACACACAGCTCCCCTCCATGGCTGACAGGAATCCTTTAGGTCTCTATAGCCACAGGTCCCCCTGCCCACATACCCCCAGTCACTTCTGGCCTCTGTGTTTTCAAAGTCACAATCATGGATGCTGCTGACACAGCCCGCAAGGGCAGGACTTGGACTGTGCCTTCTGCATCCCGCCAAGCACCACTGTAACATAATCCTGGACATAGCAACCTCTGGGCAGCCATGATGTATGAAGGAGCCTTGGGTATCTGTGCTAACTTGGGTCAGAATGGAATCTGCCCACTGGCTGGTTCCTGTTCTTTCTCCTGAATACTGAGGCAAAAAGAAAACCCTGCCTGCTTGAGGTAACTTCCAGATTGACCCCTGGGCCCGATTCTGATGCAACATCCTGCTGGCTTCTTCCTGGCTCATCCAGGGAAACAGAAGACAACTGAGGGAGGATAAGTGGCCCCCAAAACTGCTGGGTGGGTGTCTTCCACACAGGGGAAGCACAGGCTGGGGTACTTTCTCTAGCTCTGGGAGCTCCTGTACCTCTTATCCCTCCTGTTCCTCTATCTGAGGGCACTTCCTGGCTCCAAGTAGGCATGTAGGTGGAAGAGGGGTGTCCCCAAATCAATGCCCGGAGGACACAAGCTGGTATAGAAGACAGCTGGCCTCTCACCTGGCTGAAATGTTGCTGTAGTGCATATATGCTGCAATGACAACCCCAATCCTGCCTCGGTTTCCCTGAAAGAGGAAAAAGACAATCATTTTCAAACCAGCTCTGCTGTCCAAAGCCCATTCAGAAGCCAAGGAGGCAAGGGTTGGAGAGAAGAGTGAAGTTCTGAAGAAAGGGGAACACTGGGGCGGGAGACTGGAGGGGAGAAGTCAGAAAAGCTAGCCCACCCTCCACTACTAGGAATATAAACTCCTGCCCTGCCCCCATTTCTTGGAGGTACACTCTTGGGCAGAATCCATAATGTTGTAGAATGGAAAACACAAACAGGTAGGGGAGTACAATCACACCATCTTAACACGCAGGCGGGTTTGTGCACACACATGTACATGCACACACATACAGGTATGTGCACATATATGCAGCCTGCACTCTGACCTTGTTGTGCAGAACAACAACATTGTGGGGGTCTGCATTGAGCCAGGTGTCCATGGCCTTGCAGACACTGCATATCTTCTCCAGGGCCGGTGTGTGCAGATCAGGCCAGCCAAATTCCAGGACCTGGGGTTGAGACATGAGTAAGAAAAGGAAAGCCTGGGGACGCTATCAAGTCAGCCAGCACAGCATGAGAGCAGACACCAGCATCCAGGCCTCTGCTCTTATCCTGCTTACAGTCCTTCTGAGATGCAAGGCTCGGGGAGCAAAGGCCATGACTCAGGCTCACAGTAGGGTCTTAGGCAAGCCATGTCCCTCTACCAGAGGTGTTGTGTGAGCCAAGGTGTACACTGTGAAACTGATCTCAAAGCTTCCAGAGAGGCCTGAGCCCAGCCCTCCAGTTCCCCTCCGAGGTCAATTTAAGACTGATTCAGATGACAGAGGAAGGGAAAGGGTCCTCTGGTGCTCACACCACCCTGGATACACAGACTGTTCATTTTCAGGTCTCCGAGAAAAGTCTGAAGTGTGCAGAAGCAGGGATTTCCAGTGACCTTCAGCCCTCCTCAAGCCCTCTCTAACTTCACAAAACACTAAATAAAAAGAGCCACTATTTGGCTGGATCCACTCAACATGCCTAAGCCAGCTGTCCACTTTCAGAGACATGGTCTGAGGCTCAGAGAAGTCTGTCCCCTGCCTGAGGTCCCACACTGACAGGCACTAGAATCCGGGGTGAAAGCCAAGGTCCCCTGCAAGTCTCTAACAATTCCTTTAGCAAGCAGAGTAAACCCTGGGACAGGAGCCTATATAGAAAAGACATAGCCACAGCCCCCCTCACAGAAACCCATAATATTTCTACCCTAGGGGCAGATGAGGCCAGAAGCCACTTTGTGAAATTTCAGTAGCTGGCACTATAGTCCATTTTGCAGATCTGAGGTATCTTTGAACTTGGAACTATCATGGAACTACACAAGAGAGGGTGTGTTCTCGCTCCTGCTACCCCAGGCTAGGCCAGGCCAAGACATTCTAAAACAGCCACAGACTCACCTTCGCATGGAGCTTCGTGACATCAGGCCTCTGCTCAGAGAGGTTGAATAGCTGGAAAGAGACAAAGGAAGTGTGAGGTGAGAAAGGAATAGGGAGTCTGTCCCGGCTTGTCAGGAGCCTGGCCACCAGCAAGCCATGAGCTCTTGGACGCCGACACCTGCGACACGCTCTCTCGCCTAACGGAAAATTTTCCACCATGAACACATGCTGGCCAACTGAATCAGCGATGAGTTCTCAGGAGAGGTGGAGGCTGCCACACTCAGCCAGACCCCTTGCAAGGGAGAATCCTAAACTTGGGATGAGAAGGCATAGAGCCCAGCCCACTGGTGCTGAGTGACAGTGGGCAGCCACCTCTGGCTTTAAGACCCAATCCCACAACACTACTTTTCTGTCTTGCTTCTCTGTCCTTCCTTCTACCATAAGGTACGAGGCATCCTGCTGAGCCCCTCAAACACATGAAGCCCTACTGACATCCCACAGCCTACCCTGTCTCCCATGTTCCTTGACCCCCTGAAGGGCGGTGCAGAATTGGCTGCCTCTATCTTGCCACCACAAATTTGACAGTTGCTATGTCACCTCTGAGGAGGAGAGGGGACAGACCCTAGAATGTGCAGGAAGGAGGGGGACTGCGACAGAGCACAGACATCCTAGAACTCTGTATTCCTGGAGCCAGAGAACTCCAAATACTTCCAGTCCCGTTAAGGAACACACTGAACGACATTAACAATGTCACAGAGCTGGATTCATAACTAATGGCCATACATTCAGCTATCACGGAGCCAGAATGAGAAGCCAGGACTTTCTGTTATTTGAAGCCAGGCATTCACAGTGCTCAGTACAAATGATGGATGGGTTGTTAGAGAGGCCTTCAAAACACACGTCCACTGAGAATTTCAGAATCTGGGACCTTTGGACCGAGTCGAGGATCCTGCTAGGAGATATTTTTGACCCAGGCTGATCCTAAGACCAACAACCAATGTCCTTAGGACCAGAGGAGAAACAGACAAGGAAGGCCACGTGAAGGTGGAAGCAGAGAATGGAGTAATGTGGCCACAGGCCAGGGAATGCCTGGGAGTGCTGGGAGCGGCCAGGAGTGGGGAAAAGGCGAGGAAGGCGGTTTTCTCCAGTATTCAAGGGAGCATGGCCTCACTGTCAACCAGATGCCAGGCCTCCAGAACACATTCCTGTCATTTTAAGCCAAGTAGTGTGTGACCATTTGTTCCAGAAACCCCAGTACCCTTGTGCAACCTCCTCAGCGCAGCTCTGCTAAACATGGCAAGCAGCACCCAGGGACTCAGTGCCAACAGCCCAGCCCCCACATACCTCCCCAGAACATGGACCTGAGCCTCCCTTCAGGAATGGTCACCCTCCTGCTGTAGAGGATTCTCTGCCACCCACCTCCCTGACATCTGATGACTCTAGCCAACCACGGGGTACTCCAAAACTGCACATGGCCAAGTCTACTCCAGGGCTTCCACCCAGAGCAGCTCCACCAGCCAGACCTCGGCTCTCTCTAGGGTCTGTTCTGAAAGTGAAGAGGTTATCGGAGGGCCTGGCTTGCAGTGCAGGCTCAGCAATAAGGAACTGTCTTTATCTCTTCTCCGAGTCTGCACACTGACACATTCACACCCACACACACCCACTCACATACACGCACTCAAGGTACTCACACATTCTCACCCTCACACATGCACTCACACACACTTACACACGCACTCACACACTCACAGGTACTCACACATTCTCATACACACAATGCACTCACACACACACACTCACACATGTACTCACAGGTACTCACACATTCTCACACTCAACACACACATGGTTCCAGATGCTACACTCAACTGCACGTGCTCTCCTGAGAATCAACTCTCTCTGAGATAAAGTAAAGACCTGGGCTTTGCAAGATGCCCAGGTCATCCGAGGGAAGGGGTGCCAGCCTCGGTGTAAAGGCGGTGAGCAAGAGCAGGGGTGAGGCCCACCCACCAGGTAGTTGCCCCCATGTTTGGACTTCAGCATCTGGGCCACTTCACGGAGGTTGCTGCGGAAGTTCTCCTCATTGGCTGTGCTGGGGAAGGACACGGCGATGATGCGCTCGGTGACATACACCAGGTCCAGCTCACAACTGTCCTCCATGGCCCGGCTCACACTCATGTTTCTAGAGAGACTGAGAGGAGGACAGGTCCAGGTCAGAACCCAGGAATCCAACCCTGCCTCTAACGCACTATGAAAGTTTATTTTTTAAGGTTTGTTTATTTACTTATTATGTATATAGTGCTGTCTGCATGTATGCCTGTACTGTAGGCCAGAACAGGGCACCAGAATACATTATAGATGGTGTGAACCACCATGTGATTGCTGGGACTTGAACTCGGGACCTCTGGAAGAGCAGCCAGTGCTCTTAACCTCTGAGCCATCTCTCCAGCCCCCTGTGGAAGTTTCTAAAAGGATCCAGGAGGGAAAGAGTGACTGGTAACGATGCTCCCAGAATCCTGGAGCAGAGCCCTGGCCACCTCCATGCACTCAAACCGAGAAAACAGGAGGCCTCCCTGGGGAAAGGGGAAGCTCAGGTGATATGCTCACATGGGCTCAAGCTGAGCCAGAGGCCAGGCACATTCCACCCTCCCTCCCTAAGGCAGACTGACCCCTGCACTCTGTCCCCAGCTCTCCCAGCAGAGATCATTCTTGGTCCAGGCCCCCCCCCCGCATTCCTAAAGTGGGAGGGTGCTGCAGTGGTTTGAGGGTCCTAGAAACAGTAGGGAGCCCCTGTGCCAGCAGCTGTCTCTCCCCTGGACACAAGGTGAGGGGAGCATGAAACTCACAGCTTTTCTACCAGAGGAGGGGTTCATGTTGCCTACTGGGGTACCTCCTTCCCATGTAACCTATTACCTCAGCCTCCCTCCCCAACCAAGGTGGGCAACACTCCTTATTTCACTAACTTTCACTATACTATAGCAGTAAGGGGTTGGGGTTGTAGGGGGTTAGAAGCAGCAGATCCTCTGGCCTTGGTGACAAAAAGCCCCAGGACATTAAGGAGCCTAGAAATATCCAGGGTTGACATGGGCCCAGATGTCTGAATGGGTGTAGACATTTCATCTCTGATGAAATGACAGGGGTAGAAGCCAGTTAGAACTGGACCTGAATCCCAGTGGCTGCTTGTGCCTATTGTATCCCGGCAGCTGCTGGATAGAGCTCTGATTTCTACCCAGGGGCCAGATGCCATCTGAACACTTACCCCAAATGTTGATAGGGGTAACCTGAGAACCCTCCACTCTCCATAGTCCTTTGGTCCTGGCTCTGAAGAAGGGACTGCATCCTCCTCAGAAAAACTCATAAACCCAGCCCATTTATTTCTAGCCTTTCCCTCTGAGAGGCAGAGGAAGGAGAGGAGCCAGGAAAGCAACAGGCATGAGTCAGAGGTGGCCATCCTGGGGTACTGGACAGGACCAAATTACCGATCAGTTCCATTATCAGGCTAGGTAGGTCCCAGGAAGAAAGAAAAGGCTGAACAGCGCCACCAGCTGGACAAGATTGGCATCACCGCTCTAAGTGTACAAAGCAGTGAAAGGATGGGGGAGACGGGACAAGGACCACCTTGGTCTACAGGAGCTCTAGGCAGAAACCAGGGAGCCTCAGAATGAAGGTGAAGTAGATAGAGGCAGGGTGTGGGCAAAGCTTAGAGTCTTCCTGTGTGTTCTCTTTCCTGTGTGGAGAATGATCACTCTACAAAGTCCTCCCTCCCCACAATCAGAGACCTCATCCACAGAGTCAGAACCAGCCTGGGCCTTGATGGCACCTGGCCCCAAATGCCACTTCCGGTCAGTGGGGACCTTGAACAAGTCACTGCAGACACTCAGCAACTCATTTGCCAATACACAGACCTTCATTTCCATTACAAGGACTGATGAGTTCATGCGGGGAAACAGAGTCCACCCCAAGGTCTGTTCTATCACTCACAATGATTTCGGCCAAGGGCCACCAATTCCAGGTCTCTCACTAGGACTGTACAGCATCAGTCTTAGGACTCAGGAGGGGACATGAGGATGCCCATACCCCATATCCTCCCTCTCTGACAAGTGTACCTGACAGGCTGTGGCTGTGGCTGGATGCTTGGGGAAACTCTCATGGAGTCCTGGAAAAGAGAGGAGACACAGTATTACAATAGGGGAGCAAAGAAAGGGAGGAGCAGAAAGGGGCCCAGGGCACGGCCACACACAGATCCTCACCCCCTCCTTGGCCAAAACTCCACCCCCGCCACCCTAACACCCAACACAGCAGCCACAAAAACCAAAAGTGCCTGCTGTGGGAGAGACGGGGTTAGCTGGAAAGAGGAGATCTCTGATACAAAGACACACAGCCGCCTGGCTGGTTCCCCTGCTCTGGAGATACACGTACCAACAGTGGCCGGATTGGCAGAACCCCACCCCGCCCTAACTTACCAAGCATCATAATAATAACCTCAACTAGAGATCACAGACAGCAACCACCAATGCTCCAGGAAAGCAAGGTGTGTTTCCCCTCTCGAGGGATATCTCTGAGCCTGTGTCCTCTTTGTCAGTGTCATGCCCCACTCCCCATCCTTCAAAGCCACAACACTCAGTCAATGAATCAGTGGAAAGCTAAGACAGAGCAGCAGGTGTGTAATTTATAGAGGGCATCCAGGACCCCTCGTGTCTAAGGCCCCATGTCTTATCCTGTCTCACCTGCTCTGCATCCAGGGTGTTGATGATACAAAATTAAGCAAACAGACCCAAGTTGGTGACCAAAACTTTGCAGGGCAGCCAAATGACAACCAGCAAAAGCACTAGGTTCCAGCATCCTTCTGGGCAGCATGGGAGATACTTAGCCCACCGAACCTGGTAAAGCGTCGCCAGAATGTCACAGAAAGACAGGCCAGCCCTCAATAGCTTGTTATAGGCAAGCAAAAACCAAAACAAACAAAAACATGTAGATGAGCTTCCTCACTAAGTGTCAATGGCAGCTGTCGCTTTAATTGTCACTCTCTTATTAAGAAGAACTGAAAGACAAGTTCCTGGAAGGGAAGGGACAACCGTCCATTCTCATGATAAAAACAAGACCTGCTTTCCTCCCCCTCGGCAGCCACCATCTACTCCAATTCTGAATTCCTGAGCTCCACTGAGCCACCTCTCCTGGCCACCGAATGGCAGCCTCCCCTTAGAGGCAGCAAGACCACCATCTGCAAAGAACAGGGACATAAGACACATGGTGACTCACCCCTGAATCCCTGGGAAATTGATGACAGAGCAGGATTCGAACTCTGACCTGGGCTTGGCCACGGAACCCAAGTGGAGGGTATTGCACCCAATATTCAGAGTGTTGGGCTCTGAGGTCCAGCTCCCCATGGAGTTCAGAGTCGGGGCCCCTGGATGCAGGAGGGCTGGCCACCCTGCCACAGTGGGGCTGCTCAGGGCTCAGCAGAACTCAGTGCAAGGAGGAGCCAAACAGCGCTGTCAGAAGGAAGGATTCTCAGTTGCTCAGCATTTCCTGCCCTAGGACTTGGGGTTGTGTGAGTCAGGCCAGGGCAGTAGAGGCGGGGACCAGGGTGTTTGGTTTTCAAACCCTAAGCTAGGCTGTTCCAAAACTCTCCACCCCAAAGCACACAGAAAGCCAACACTTCATCCATCCCATTGCACTGGTCTCTGATGAGGAGGCCCTGACTCTCCTCAGGCCCTGGGCCATGCTCCAGGCTCTAGGGCCACCCAGCTATAAATAGCCCCTAGGGTTTCATCTGCTATGGATCCACAGCCACTCTTGAAGGAAGCCACCACAGCTGCTTCAAACAACTGGAAGCCACAACTTAGCCAAGGCTTACAGTGCAGCCATGATCAGGGCAAGGCACAAGCAAGGAGCTGGAAGAAAACAATGGACCAATTGAGCCAGGATTGATGAAGGAACTGGAGAGCCAAGCAGAGCTGGGAGCCTCCAAAGGCACTGGCGAAGGATGCACAGGACCCAGAGACCAGGCTCCCGGTCCAGTTCCCCACCACCCTCTGGCCAATGTTATAACACTCCACATTCCTGACTCCCGCCTGGAAGATAAATACTTGGCCCAAACAGAGTCTGGCCCTGCCACCTCCAGAGGTGATAAGAAAGGTCCAGGCACTCAAGAGCAGGGTGTCTGGGGCAGAGATGCACAGGGGAAGCTGTCCTGGGCAGGGACTAGGGACCAACAGCTGGATTGTCACCCCCTGATGAATCACAGGGCTGGGCTGCACTCACACCAACAGGGCTTCCTGTTTTCTGCAAGGTTTGGGGACACATGACCCTTGCTGGCAGAAAGCAGGCTTGCACGGGGACTGTGGATGCATCGTGAGCACAGGAGAACAGTAAAGGGGCAACCAGGAGCAAACAGGTGCTCTAGCCAGCCCGGTGATTCTCTATGAGATAGCAAGGTAAGTTGAGGCCTGGAGTGAGCTCTGTGTCCCCTCATGGTGGACATGCCCTCAAAGGTTAAACATTCACTGGGGCTCCTGGGGGAGATGTGGAGAAGTCCAAGCCTCACCCTAATTCTGTGCAGTGAAGGTAATTGTCAACCCACCTGGGGAAGAGTCATAGTGGCTTGGTCTCATATACTCATCCGTAAAATGGGTACAGCACAGGGATCTGCAATCTTTTACCTGCCTTACTTGGAGTCCCTAGGGAAGGTTTATTTTAAAATGGAAAATAAATTCCTGCCTGGAATCCCATTCTTTTCCCCTCTAGGGAATCTCGAAACTCTTAACTTCCTTCTAGCTCCTCCCAAGACAGACCAATAATAGAACTTTTGATCCAGCTCCCTAAGCACCAAACAGTCTCCCTTATCCTCATCTCTCAAACACGTCTCTCCTTTGCAGAAAGGCCTCCCTCCATGAAGGGCATTCCACAGCCTCCTCCAACAGCGTCTTTCCTCACGGGCAGGATGTTCCTACTCATAACTAACCATCATCCTTCCTGCTTTAGGCACCAGCTCTTTTTTCCTTGGTTCCCCCTGCAGGCAGGAGCTGACCACAACTTGGGCGTCCCTGAGTAGCTCCAGGTCTGCCTTCTGGGGTTGCACTATTTGCTACCTTCTGCTCCCCATAGCATATCCATGCAGCAAGAGCTGAGGAAACCCTGGATCTCCTGGTGGGGCTTGTTTGCAGCTAGAAGCTGAGAGAAGTCCTGCTTTCCCTTCAGGTCCATGGAGCAAACAAAACACCTCAGGACAGAGGAAAAAAAAAAAACCTGTTTCCTGAACCTAGGTCCCCAGGGTCCCAGCTGAGAGGAGGGTCTGCCAGTGAATACTAGGGGTCGAGTGAGGCTGCCAGAGCCCAGCCCTTCATTCCTGCATCTCCTCAGTCGAGGCCCCCCACACAGGCCCCTGCAGCCACACCCCTTCCTCCCCCCACCTTCCTGCCCACCACTTGGATTTTTCCAAAACAAAGTGCGACACAGCCTACAGCCTACAGCCTCCACTGCACACCAGCTCCATCAGAGGAAACTGTCTGGAGAAGCCGAAGCAGGAAACACCCCACAAACAGGCTAATGCCCTGAGCCAGTTTCTCCTTCCCCCTGCCCAGAGCACAGTAGAGCCCCAGGCAGCCAGGGGACCAGCACTAAAGCCCTGGGTCACCCCACCTATGACAGAGGTCTGGTCCACTTCTCTGCAGCAAGCAGGTCCTTCTGGAATCTGCCCTCCTGCTTGCCCCTCCTATACTCCTTTAGTGAGACTCATTTTCTCTGGCCTCCAACCTACAGACAGGTACCCGACCCACCCTGACACACAGCCACTTGTAGATTCAATGGCCCTACACCAACAAATGTTTTTCCTGAAAACTAAAACAAGATACCATCAACCACAACTAAGTGGCCACCTCTTCCTTCCATACGACCAAGGTCAAACATACCCTCAAGGTCAATAGCTCTTCTAGATGTCTAACCTTACTCCTGGTTTGGCTGTAGTTTATGGACTCCATAGAGCCCAGGCTAGGAAGGCAGGGTCAGAAGTCCTAGCATGAACTTCTAAATACACCCAGAACACCAACTGAAAGCAATGATTCGGAGGCCACTTTATCCCAAGGGTTAAGAGTCCTGGATGCAAACAAACAAAAAAACAAACAAACAACAAACAAACAAAAAAACATGCCGGCTGTTGGTGGCACTTGCCTTTAATCCCAGCACTAGGGAGGCAGAGGCAGGGGGGTCCCCGTGAGTTCAAGGCCAGCCCGTTCTCCAGAGCAAGTGCCAGGATAGGCTCCAAAGCTACACAGAGAAACCATGTCTCGAAAAACCAAAAAGAAAGAGTCCTGGATGACATGTATCCACAGACATTCAAGGGATACCTCTAGCTTCTGTTTCCTCATCTATAACATGGAGCCACAGCATCTGACACATACCTTGTCATGAAAGCATACAACCTCCCAGCCTAGTCCCTGGCCCCTAAAAGAAATAATGGCAGTAAGACCAGATAATGTTTACTGAGCACCCATCATAGCTGGAAGTGTCTCAAGCTAGTTCATCCTTTGCAATAATACACACGAACCTAAATTCTCAGCAGCGTCCTGAGTACCGGTGAACAGGAATCCTCACATACCTCCACAGAGCCTTCCCCCAACCTAGGAGTCCACGCGGCCCCTAGACAGCTCCACGCCTTAGTGCTGGGCCTATGGCGGCCCAGGATGGTGCAGCAGTGTTGGTGGGCCACCCTCGGGAGCTGCTACAGCTCAACCCCTCCCTGCGGGGCCCTCCCTACCAGAGGCCAGGCAGCTGTCAGATGATAGGGCCTCGTGCCATCAACAGCTCCCCCTGTGCCAACCGCCAAAACCACTCCCTGTTCCTCTCCAGGCCTGCAGCGGACGGAGGGGCCAGCATGGGGCACAGGGCAGAAAAGACCTGAGGAAGGTGAAGTGTCTTCTGTGGGACCTGCCAGGGTGTAGAGACAAGCCAGCCCGAACAGAGATCAGGGGCTCCTGTGCCCTCGCCTGGGTTCCTTCTGATTAAGGAACTTGTCCCCTGACCGCCCTCGTGAAACTAAAGACAAAATGAACCAGGACCAGATAACCCTCTTCCAGTGTCCTGTGTCAGAGGCAGGAAAGTCACACAGCAGTCACCATTTCCCAAGACTCCTGGCTCTAGGCAAGCACCCCAACAGTGTCTCCAGGATGTAGGGGAACCTTAAGAGCCCTGTTTCCCTCACCCTTTCCAAGCCTGCCTTCCACCAAGCCTAGCTCTCAGATCTGCCTCTCTGTTCCTCGCCTACCCAGAACTGCCATGGTACAGTGACGAAGACCAGGCCAAGCCTGAACCTAACAACTGACTTCATGGGCCTCTTTCTCCAATGCTACAGCCAAGCCCCCTTCAAGAGGGTTGGCTAAGGGCACCACCCCTCTCCTGCTTGATACCCTTGCTTTACCCTTGGGAGCAGTCTCGGCCCTGCCCTCCTTATACTCACACTCTCCTGGGGGCTTTTCGGAGAGCTTCCACCCCTGCAGTCTCCTTCCCCCTGTAGGCAGAGAAGAGGCTGTCAGAGAGAGGGGGCAAGATGAACAATACAAGGTTCCAGAATTCCTACCTGCTGGAGTCAGGGTGGAGGGTGAAAGAGTAGCACCTGTTTGTCCACACAAAGGCCGGTCAGAGAAAGGTAAACCCTCTCCTTTGGGCCCACCCATGTGGGACACTGTTACTCCATTTTGAAAATGAGAAAGCTAAGGACCAGACAGGCTTTCCCTCCCCACAGGTAGGGCCTTTGCTTCCAGCATCTGGTTTCAAGAAGGCCTTTCCCATCCAACAACACTTCTAGCCTCAGTTTCCCCCATTGCAGAGTTCCCACACCCATTCATCCTCTTCCATCCAGCCTGGAGGAAACTCTGCTAATGTAGTTCGAAAGATTGGTGTGAAGTCTGCCCAGCTTTCTCATACCCTTCCTCTCTCATGCCCTCTTTATGTGTGCAAGTGTGTGAGTGTGAGTGTGTGTGTGTGTGTGTGTGTGTGTGTGTGTGTGTGTGTGTATGCACATGTATGTGGATCACCTTTGCAAACCTGCATTACTAAAACAGATAGGTCATGTTCTCTTCCTACCTTCTCAAGCAAGTTTGGCATTTGAGACAGGGTCTCTCACTAACCTAGGACTTGTCAACAACAGGCTGGGCTAACCAGCAAGACCTACAGGACCCCTGTCTCTACCTCCCCAGCCCATGTGCCATCACACTGGGCTTCTTTTCCCAGATGGTTTCTGGAGGTCAGAATGTTCTGGAGGTCTTAACTGTTCATGCTTGCACAGGCATGCCCCTGATTGAGGGGTTACCCCAGGGCCTCCCTTTTTGTTGTTGTTTGTTTGAAAGAGCTCTCACTATGTAGCCCAGGCTGATCTAAACTGAGGGTAACCCTCCTGCCTCAGCCTTCCGGATTCTAGGTTTACAGGCCTGAGACATTTAACATATTTCTTGCAGACAGGCTTACTCACTGATCTCCTCCACAGCCCCACCCTGCTCCCTCTCTGTTAGCCTCATTCGTGCAGCCCATGGCTGGGCATAGGTTCCAAGATCATCAACACCCCTTTCTCCAGGATCCAACCCCTCCCCCATCTCTAAACCCACCTCCCTGCAAGCCCCTCCCAGCACTGGCCTCCTCATTCTGCCCCTGTTGTCACTCACCACGTCCACTACATTCTTGGGTACGCTCTCCGTGGTGATGGGCTAGGGACAAAACCAGAAAATAGTGTGAGCTTCACAGAAATACTGGCACAGCTGCCTTCGAGGCTGGCAGTCAGGGTGGTAACAAGGCACAGTCCCAAGCTTCAAGACATCATTTGGCTGGTCCCAAGCTGGGGAAGCAGCATTTGCAAAATGACACATAGTCTCATTAGTCATGGAGCCATCCAGTTCCAGCCTACCAAGGGCCCACACTCGGTGCCCATGCAAGCCTCAGACCACTCAGTAAATGAGGACAACAGGATAAAGCACTCTTGCTCCAGCTAGTCAGTGTTTTCACCTCCACTGTGTCTATCCAGGACAAGAATCCACAGAGGCAGGGACCACCTTGGCCTGTTAGCCCCAGGAAACAGATAGAAGCTACAAGAGATGCCCAAGAGCATGGACTCTTGGGGTCAGAACCTGCCTGCCAAACACTGCCCAAATCCCAGCTCCCAGTGACCTGCTGCTGGCTCCACCCTAGGTACCTATGGTATACATACACACGAACACACACACACACACACACACACACACACACACACACACACACACACACACCCACCCCACCACACAACACAACCCAAAACGCACACTCACTCCACACTGTGCCCTCTACTCTTCCTTGGTGGCTCCCCTCCTTTAGGAAGCCTGATTACACCCATGTGGTATCCGGTTGGCCTCCCCAGCTGTGCCTTCCTAAAGGAATGGTCTTATCTGGCCCTATACAATGCATTCCTCCAACCACGGTTAATTTGTTTTCATTATTGTAAGTATGTGCATGTGTGTATATCCACCTGTGGATCTGTTGGCATGAGTGCAGGAGCCCATGCAGGCCGGTGGCACCAGACCTCAGGAAATGGATTTACAGGTGGTTGTAAGCCATTCCAAAGGAATACTGGGACCTGAACTCTGTCTGGTCTCCTGCATGAGCAATACATGCTCTTAACTCCAGCCCTGATTTTGGATTCTGGGTCTACCTTCATCCAAAGTAATCATAGTGACATTTTTGTTTTGTTTTGTTTTGTTTGTTTGTTTTCAATACAGGGTTTTTCTGTATTGCTTTGGAGGTTGTCCTGGAACTAGCTTTTGTAGACCAGGCTGGCCTCGAACTCACAGAGATCTGCCTGTCTCTGCCTCTCAAGTGCTGGGATTAAAGGCGTGCGCCACCAATGCCCAGTTTCACAGTGACATTTTTGATCAACTCAGTAGAAACCCCCTCATGCCAGGAACCAGGAGACCAGAAATGGGCCATCAATAAACATGCATGGATGAACATCCCTCCCCTCCCTCCCCCAGTCAACACAAGAGCTTCATCGTAAAAGTGTGGAGAAGAGTGAACAGGGTGGGGAGGGGGACAGGAGCTTCCAAAGCCAAGCTCACCTCTCCACCATCCCCAGAGTTCTGTCTGCCACTCCAAGAGGGGACTGTGACCACCTGAAAGGCTATTATTGGCACTGGGTGTCCCACCTACCCAGAAGTTCTGAGTCATCACATACTGTAGGGACCAGAAATGTGCATCTCCCACAGGGTCCTAGATGGTTCTAAGAGCAGACAGCCCAGCCCACACCCTGACTCTGCTGTCAGCAGGGTGACCCGAAGCAGGTTGCCCATCCTTGCTGCCCACCCTGCATGGCTGCCTGGGGTAATTACATGTTGAGCGGATGGAATCAAGGTCCCCTATGAAGAGGACCTGGCTCCCAGCATAGGCTAGTCCTTACAGCTACCCTCTCACTCTGGAGTTCCCCTATAACATGGAGGCCCGCCCCACCCTGCCTTACTCAGACCCGTGCCCAGCCTTCTCTGAGCCATGAAGCTTAGTATAAAACCACAGGCCTCAGCAGAGTGGGAGAAATGCACCCTTCCTGCCAGGGATCATCTGAGCACTGTCCCTTCTGCCCCCACCCCTTTTCCTTGCCAGCTGGAGGCCAGCCACATGCAAGAATTGCCAGCAGTCAGATGCCTTCAACACACTGTCCCACATGTCTCTTGAGGAGCTAAAAATTTCCAAACACCCAGACTGCCCTGCAGAGTTCATACCCCAGCGCAGCATGCATGCATCCCTTGTACCCTAGTTCTCCAGGGCTAACTACCAACTACCAACCCTAGACTGCCTGAGAATGGAAAAGTGCAGGGACCAGTCCCAGCTGGGCAGAGTCAGCTAAGGCTGACCAAGCTCACATGGTACAGTGGGGAAGCTCTCAGAAACTCTCCAGGGCAGCTGGGGACTCAAAAGTAGCAGCCTCCAAGAACCGTGGGGTCCTGATTACACCTCAAGTGCAAGTCCCCATGCAAACAGGCAGACACGCATGCACGCACGCATACACACACAAACCCTCCCCAGTTTATTTTAGTCTTAGAAAGAGTGGTGTTTATTTATTTTATTTGTATGTGTATGCGCCTGAATATACATGTGTGTACCACTTGTGTGCAAGTGCCTGTAGAGGCCGGAAGAGGGCATCAGATCACCTAGAACTGGGTTTACTAGTCACTGAATATGGGTGCTAGGAACTGAACCCAGGTCCTCTGCAAGAACAGCAAGTGCTCTTAACTGTTGCACCATCTCTCTAATCCCTGATTTTTCTTCTTAGAACACATTGTTCTCCAACACTCTATTTTATATTTACTAACATCTTTAAAGCCTGCCTCTCACTGAAATATGAGCTATGTCGACACTGAGCATAAAACAGTGCCCAGCACACTGTGGTCTCTCCAGAAATATCTGTGGAATGAGCAGTCTCCTTGTTCCCTTCTCTGATACCCTAACCATACTCAGAATTGACTGAAAACACAGCAGCATCCCAGATACCCTGGACATATGAAAGCCTTTACCTTCATCTTGTTTAGTTTTAGGTCACGAAGGACCTTTCTAAGCCACATGCACACACACACACACACACACACACACACACACACACACACACACACACAAAAATGCAAGCACAATACACCCTCATATGCCACTATCAAGACATGTACCAGAGGGCCTTTAAACGCCACCTCCTCCTGCCCCCTGATCCACAGACAGGAACCGAAGTGCAAATGTATCTCGAACAAGATGCAAGGCAGGACCAAGCTGTCCCAGTCCTGCAGAGCCCAGTGCCAAGTTCACTTCACTGGCCCTCTCCTGGGGTCAGCTGACATCTCAAAGTCAGCTACATAAGGCTGAGTCTCATAGAGTCTACAAAAGACAATGCTGGCCTCACACAGGAGTCCCTAACCCCTGCTAGCTCAGGTCTAGAAATTGAAGGCGGCATTCCACACATATCCATTTAGCACCCTGCACAATGTCTCTCTGTCCCTGAGAGCCCATGCCTGCTCACATTTTGCAGTTGTGATCTAGAGACACCTTTTTCCAAGGCTAAAGCAACAACAACAGCTTGGTGTGCGAGAGAATGGGAACCAGACTCTGCTGCTTCCTCACCAGCCCTCACAGCATCCTGGGGCGTGAGTGTTACTTATCTCACAGATGGGGCAAGTAAACAGTGAAAGACTCCGCGATGCCCAGAGGAAGAGAGCTGGCATTTGAACTCTGCCCTGTGTCCTCACAGGCTCCCTCAGTCTCTCATTCATTGTGGGTGGGGGGGGGTAGGTAGGTATGCACACACTTGAGTGCACATACATGGAGACCAGAGATCATCATCATGCATCTCCCTCTATCGAACTCATTGATTTGGCTACTCTGGATGGCCAGCAAGTCCCAGGGCTCTTCCTGTCACCACCCAGCGCTGGAATTATAGGCAAGCACCCCTGTGCCTGGTTTTACCTGGTGTTGGGATTAAACTCAGGTCTACATGCTTGCACAGCAAGCACTTCACCTATTGAGCCACTTCCTAGCCCCATTCAGCAGAGACCCCACTTTTGGGGCCCTAGAGGCTAGTTACAGCACACCCTCGCCTAGGGTCAGCAGTAGGAACAGTCTTCCCTCGGAAGACTGGGAAATGGGAGCGACTGCCGTGGGAGAGATAACGGAGAACTTCCTGAATTTGCTGTGAACCACAGTGTGGGTAAGGAAGCTGCATATCCTTTCTTCAATACCCCCCCCAACAGACACACATGCCCTCTCCCCCTCCCTGTGCACATGCTGAGTGATCCAGAGTCGCCATGTCCTAGAAGACTGGGAGGCTGCGACACCTACCTGCCTGGGGATCATACAGTAGAATGCACTAGTGGCCTTCAGGGAGGCTGCGTTGGGGGGAAAAATGTATCTGTGGGCTGCTGTTTAGAGGAAGGAAACGCTGGGCTTGGGGATGCCCCGGCCTGAGCCCAGGGCTCGGGGGCAAGAGGGAGGGTGCAGAATGCAGACTCAGCCTCCAGTGGAACATTCTGTCCAGAACTCTTCAAACCCTCAGCTCTAGCCTGCCAGCTCTCTCTGCTCTTGTCCCAGGGGAAGTCTGAAATCCGGGCAGTTTGGAAGCCAAAAAGACCCTGTGACATCACATCTGCCACCATTCTGATGATCTGTGAGGTCACTCAGCACTACCTATCTTGGGAGGGGAAGGGCCTGGGAGCCAGTGGGGACAGTCAGAAGGGACTGGAGTTGCTCAGATCCAGGGCCCAGGGAAAACTATTCTGGGCCCACTTCTTCCCAAAATAGAACCATAAGTAGATATGGGGTTGAGTACAGGAAGGCAGGGGCCAGGGTATGGCATTTGGGGACATGAAACAGAGTATAGCAGTGGGGAGCTGGACTGCATACTGGAGGCACGCCTCATAACACTCTTCCTAACAGTAATAACAACATCAACCTACAGGCAGCAGCAGTGGCAGACAAAGCGAGAGCTTCCCACTCCAAAAGCCTGCTTTGGGCCAACTGCTTGCCCCGGCTTCCTGAGCCATCATTCCACTTCATGGTCACAGGGTTGGAGGAGCATCTGACTCCTCTACCGGCTGTTTCTGGGAGGATACTCAGTTCTACGTGAGCCCAGGTCTGCCCTCCAAATCTGTGTCCCTGCTATGCTCCATCCCAAAGCACCGGAGGCCATGGGGTGGGTGGGCACCGGAAC